CGCGCCGCGCCGCGTCGCCGGTCGCGTCTCGCCTCGCCGCCGCGCAACCACTTCGCTCTAACGGCCCGCCAAACGTGCACGTATGCGATACGCATTGCAAATCCAAGTGTGTAATAAGTGCCTTCATATACGTGTGTGATTTACCCTGCTCACAATGGAAGAAACGTTATGGCAATAGGAATAGATATTTAATATTAGAGAGATGAAGAAATTAGGGATGTAGAAATTATGAATGCTTTAAGGAAAGAAAGTTCAATTTGAAAGTACGTTTAATATTTACACTTTACATAAATTATGTACATATGAAAGTTGTGTGAATAAAATTAGATTTTTGTTTAATAACACATTTTTGTAATTAATTAATTTTATTTGTTATTTTTATTTTAGTTAAATTAACGTTAAAAATTAAAATTTTTAAATGATAAAAAAATGTACATTTTCCTTTTATAAGTACTTTAAATATTCGAAATAATTTATGCAAAGTTTCATTGTGATTCACTGATTAGTTACAAATATGTAGAATAAATATTTTGTTTATTTACTGGACAACTAGTTCATACATCGCAATGTAACTCTACGTAAATAATCTTGAATATATAATGTACTTATATTTTAAAAATGGAGATTTTTATCATTTTTTTAATAATACATTTCTATATATTTATATTAGAGCACAAATTAAAATCTAGTACTAAATGTTAAAATGACTTATGATCCAGATAGTAAACTGTCATCAAGTTTGTCGTATTATTTTTAAACGTGATTTAAAATAATCTGCAATTTTTTCATAATTTTGGTATCATTTTGAAAATATGTATAAAATATCCTTAAATTGTTGAATTTAGAAATTAAATTTAAATTATACCTATAATAATTTTAGTTATTTTTAATCATTTCTATAAATCGCCACTGTTAATTTAATATGTGTATCGTTAATTTAACCAAAATAAAAACGTTAAATAATTTAAGTAATGCAATAACTCAAGAAATGCATTAAATTTGATCAAAATTTAGTTTATTATTTACTAAGTTCGTATGTTAATATGAATATTATTTACTTTAAAGATAATTCAGCCACAGAAATGAATTGATTTATATTTTGATATATTGATGGAATTAAAAATATGTTATTTAACTCAAGGCATATAAATATAACATTGTGGTATACATATAAACATATAAATCTATTTTTGTATATAATGTAGTGTATTATTTTTATACGGAAAAAACTGAATCACACACACATGTATGAAGCTACTTTATTAATCTAATATTTCATTTGTCGTATGACAAATTTTTCAAACGTATTGATTGACTATTAAGATAGAGAAGGTTTCCAGAAACTCGAGAACTTCTTTATCGTACGACAAATTTGTCAAGTATGTTAATTAGCTGCGAGACAGAGAAGTTTTCAGGTCTCTCTATCCCATAGGTAATTAACAGGCTTGAAAAATTTGTCGTGCAACGAATGTAATAACCTTAGTTACACTCTTGGATTTGCAGGACGTACGTAACAATGACCGTTACGAAATCTATGAAACGCTTCCATTTGTAATGATTCGTCCTCCCGCGTTTCATTCCGCGATGTGGAGCCTTTCGTCACCTTTGTTTGTCAGCCCTAAGCGAACGCGAGATTCGACGAAATAGAAAAAGAAGAAGAAAAACAAAGAGAGAGAGAGAGAGAGGGGGAAATAGCGTAAAGTGCGTCTCTTTCACAGTTCCTCCTCCCACCTTTATCTCCGTTCATGTCCATTATCCACTCGGATTACACACCGGAGGATTCCACTTTCGTACGCACGTAAACGGCTTTAACATCGAGAGATTGTTTTTTATCCCAGCCACCCGTCGATGCTCAGACAGTTCCACGAATGTGGTACGTTTACCCGGTTTACCTATCTTCATTGTCAATTCTCAGATATGTTTTTTATCGTGTGTTTGTATACCTGTCGTTCGTATATTTTTGACTTATTTTTCGATATCGAATCGTATATTATTGCAAAGAATATTTTATCGTTTACAAACGAATTACAGATGCTTTTTATAAATAAGCTTGCATATTATTAAAATATTGTTTATCATCTGTGTGTTGATCATGATGTAAAAACTGTAAAAAATTGAGCGCTTGTTCTTTGTGTCAAAGATTCGATTTTAAATCCACCTAAAATATATCATATTTAATAATTTAATTAAATGTATATTAAATATACGTAACAAAAAAATGTTTACTAAATATAATTAATAATTTATTAAATAATATTAAATACAGTATGTTTATTTATTAAATGATGTACATCATCACTGTACTTAACTTTTATTAACAACAAATCACTTGTAAATATATATTACAGAGATTATGAACACGAACTACTTATAGCTCCCGATATATAATGTTTCTAGATGATTTGTTATTCATTAATAAAAAGGTTTAATTCTCGTTTCTTCGAAGTAAAGGAAGGAGGATTTCTTCTCCTAAAATATCTCGTTGAAAAGCTATTTGGTAATGTAATAGAAATATTGAAAAATAACCCTGAATTTTTCTACATTTTTTGAAAACAGTAAAATAATTTGAACTGGACAGAGGGAGTAAATATATGAATGCAGAGGACGGTTAAAAATTAATATAAAAATTAAATATATAAGTGAATAAATTATTAAACGGTAGATACCATTACATATATAATTTTTATGACGATTATAACGTAAAGATCGTCCGTTCTCCATGATTTAGGTTCAAACATCCACCCAAAACGTATATTAATATTAGATTTTATTTGATCGTCTCTTGAAAAGCAATTACCGAAAGTATCTTTGCTATGAGAACCTTTTCTAATAGGTCGTTCAGAAATCAGAACAGACTTTAAAATTGTAGGTCTCATAGATATATCTGCGGATATATGCAGAAGAGGTCATCACATCTGTGATAAGAAATTACGAATTTAGAAAATCTTTTTTAAAAATTGTATCAACGATAATATAATAATTTTTGATAAAATGAAAACGACCTAATTTTATAATAACGTAATCTTTTTACTCCCGAAAGAGCAGTAAATAAATCTCTTTTAAAAGGTATGTTTTTCTATAATAATCCAATCGTTAGTATGTGAAAATAAAAAAACGAGTACGAGTTTTAGATATGTATTAAAAGATATTTCTTTCCATTGAAATCGTTTTTACAGTGTCTTTTGTATAATGTTGTTAAAATCATCATTATATTTTAACTAACGTTTAATATTATCTTGAAAAAAAATTTAAAATAAAGATAAAATTTTAAATATTAAAATTTGCAAGGAATTTTATTTATTTTTTACTATTTGTTTATGAAATCATCTAGAAATATCGTGTATCTTCGTAAACATACGTTTCTAGATTAATACTTTTTTAAATAAAAGAATATCTTAATGTAGTAAGTTTTTGAACAATATTTCTGCACGTCGTATTGAAAATTTTTACAAAATAGGAAACAAAAAGAAATTTTATTATAAAACTAACACGATTAGGCAGTTTACGGATTAGAAAATGCCAATATTAAAACCTACGTATCGAGGTTTAAAATAATTATTAAATAAAAGAACCAATAAATATATTACAATCTTTTTCTCGCATTTTGAGTGTAGAATGTAGAATTAACTTCTGAATCGTATTTCCGTATTCAATAAAATAAAATTATTGCCAATTTATCCTTCTCCGTTGTCCGTATCATCTCGATATGGAACAACACGATAAATTAGAAATGTATGCAATCGCTTATACCTACTCTTTGTATAGTCTCGACTTCGATCGCGCAAATTCTAAATAAGGAACAGGGTCTTGAACGGCGGCCTATCCCGCGAGTTTATCGAATCACTGTGTTTACCTTCTTATGCAAGATTCTCTCTGAAAGGAAAGATAAACTTAGCCAATGCGAAGAAATAGCACGACGAAAAGAGTGCTCCATGCATTCATTTAATTCGCCAGCGGAATTTCCTCTGCGACAATGTATCTCCAACGCGATTCTCCGTAACTTTACGAAATTATGATTGAAACATTTTTATCGTTATATTTCTCTACAGCGTACTTTTACATACATTTATTGCAAGCGATAAATTTTTCATACACCTGCATCCTTTGTTGCGTTTATAACTTCTCATGCATTTAAAAGCTGTCAAAGAATAATATTAAACTCACATTCCGTTGCACGAGAGTAACGTCATCTCGAAAACGATATTTGTTTTGACAGTCTTCGAGTGTGCTGGAGGATCGCGAACGAATAGTCGTAACGGTCCATCTGTGAGCTCGGTTTCAGATTATTACAATATCCACAACTCTTTCAACGTTAAAACGCACAGTTGACGCTCTTTCAACACTCTCTGACATCCTTACGACATTTCCCATCTCGTTTCGAATTGACGTTTTGTTCCACCGCATTATTGGATCGTGAAAATAAAATCTGAAGCTTTGAAATATTGAGCTTTACAAGTTTCTTACCTCTCGTAAATCCAATAACGGGAAATTTCCCATTTCATCATTCATTGAAAAGCGCGGGCAAAAAAATTCTCTCGTTCTATTCGGCAGTGCATTTTCAATTCGGTGTCTATCGCGGCTGGACAATTGGTTCGTCGTGCCTTGCGACAAGGTAATATTCTCCCGGTGCTCGTCTCTTAATAACTATTAATCAAAGACGATTCAGAAGGTAGCGCGGCGCCTTGGGCTAAGACCATGTGAATTCTCGTCCGGTACTCCCCGTCCGGTTGAAGTCCGTCGTCCTTGCAAGTTTCTCGCGCATGCAGAAGCTTAATTCGTTTAATTCGAACGCAAGGGTATTTCGCACTGGATCCTCGCAGCATCTTCTCGAGACCTCAGGCGGTCGTTTAATTCAAGCGCATAAATCGGCGGTATAACGAAGCTGTGTGTTACT